ACAGAGTGGAGCATTTAGAGACTAGCTGGTGAACAGAGTGGAGCATTTAGAGACTAGCTGGTGAACAGAGTGGAGCATTTAGCAGCTAAAGAGACATTTCCCTTATTTTTGGTGGTGGAGACCAAAAACGGAGCAAAAAGAGAGAGAATGAATCCTAATGTTGCTCTGTAACTGCTGAATGTGGAAATAAAAAACTCTTTGACTGCAGGTTCAACAAATCAACTTAACAGCTTATTTTTGGTGCCTCAAAGTTGCCCAAAAGTCAGTTGTTGCATGTTTAAACTTGCTGTTTGCAGATAAACTTCACTGTGTGTCTCATGTCTTTCCAGCTGTACGAGCCTGATGAGGAGTAAGAGGACAATCTGAGAGATAGAGCTGCAGCTGGATGGAGATGGATTGTGGCTTAAAGAAGTCTGAAGAGTCTGATTTTTTTTTTGGGGGGGATCGTGGTCGTCCACCTCGTTCTTCTGTCTCTCCAACAACAGACATCTTCATCATCAAACCTGCACTACAGCAGCCCCCCCCCCCCCCCCAACAAAAGAAAAGGAAACTGTTCCACCTGCGTCTTTGTCTTCAGTTTGTGGCTGCGAGGCGCCCGACACACCTGGACAACACCTGACCTCCTCTTCTTCATCTTCATCCCTGAAGATTGACCCTTTTACTTCTCCTCACACACAACATTATCGTTACTTAACTTCTGGTGTTATTATGGCTGCAGTCTGTTGTGCTCTTTCGACTGTGCAGTATATTTATTAGTCATTTTAAACCTTTCATTCTTGTATCTATCGATTTATTTATTTTTTAATAACGAGCATGACTCCTACCTGTGTTCTTAATACCAGTGGCTGTTTTTTTTCTGCACGACTGTAAAGCTGCCTGTGTGAAAACGAACAAAACAGCCCCACACGTGTCTCACAGGGAGACGAGAGAGGCACCAGTGGGGGTGTTTTTAATTATCCGTTCTGTTTATTTCAATGGAGCTTTTATTTATTTCTCTGGAGAGTGTATAGTTGAACCTGAACCGACGCCTCCGTGTGTTGACCGAACCCCCCCCCCCGAACCGCAGTGAAAACCAAGCAGCATGCCAACAATATTACCGTCGTTCTGCATTGATTCTCTGTGTACTGAACATTGCAAACTAGCTACTGAAATTATAACAATGGTTGAAAATGATAGTATCACGCTGTTTATGTAAATTTCATCGTGGTGACTTGACAATTATGCTGTAGATGGTATTTAATTGCATGATATTGCAAGTTCATAACATTGGTGAGTTGGGTGTTATCGTGCATTTTTGATTTTCTTCTCTTTTTGGACTGGTGCGCTATAATCTATTGCCTCTACTTTCTGGGCTTTGTAAGTGCATAAACTATTTTTTTGTGTTGACATGATGAGTGTAGCGGTGAGGATCAAGACAGAACATGACTTTTAGAGAAATGCTGGATCCAGATCAGGTTTTAAAATAGCTCTTCGCTGAATCAAAGACAAAAAATACCCCAAACCACCAAGTTAGATTTCACATCAGGATCTTAGTTTAGGTTATTCTCTAATTCTTTACATGCAGATTTTTGCTTTGCACACACACACACACACACACACACAAAAAAAAGACAGGATTTTAGAAAACCAGATTTGACCAAACACCAGAAATATCGTTTCAAAAACAATTTATTTATTCAAGTTAAGAGGCTTCTGTCTTGTGAGAACCTTCGTCTTTGTGACAAAGCACTAACCCGTCCTCTAGAGGGCGCCACTGTCTACCACACAACAGAGAATTACTGTAAATCTAAGTCAAAGACAGGGTTCAGCATACAGTTGTGATCTTTGCTGCATCTGATGAGCTGAGTGTGAGGAAGACGAAAACAAACAGACGGTCGTCCCAGTTATGAGTTTCAAACAACATTCAGAAGGATTTTGCGATCACTTCAACGTGCAAAACTGTAAATACATTAAACAAAATCAAGAGTACAGAGAATAAAATATCCAACAATAAAACATATGGATAAAGATAATTAGAGTTAAATAAGCTAATCAAATATTTGAGCTTTTTAAAAATCACACGTGAGAAGCCAAAGTTTATTTGTTTCACATTTCAGAAATAATGCAATTCAAGGAGCTTTACATAAAAAATGAGAAGACAAAGTGCAAAATAAACACGTTATTGAGAGACATTTAAATACAATTTAAAACGGTTATTAAAAAGCCAAGAGTATAGAAAAATACAAACAAGCTCAAATAGAATAAGACAAGTATAACATGCAAGAATAAAAGCTGCAATTGTTTAATAAAAAAAGTTGAGTTAAAAGAAGGGAGAGTTTGTTCCAGAGAGATGGTGCATAAATAAAATAATAGAATAAGTTGTAATTATTGAAGCTCTTGCTGATATGTGCTGTCTGTATTCTAATGTTCTGATCGACAGCGTTTTGTGGTTAAAAATAAGAATTTAGCGAGTCAGTTTATCTCTTTAAAACATTGGAACTAAACCTAAAACACTGAAAATCAAATTCACAATGTAACTCTGTGTTTTATTCTCGTTAAGAAACCTGCATCATAACCACACCGACACGCTGCAGCTTCTTTATTTATGTGTCATGTTCAATGGGATTACTCACTGAGCTTCATGTAATCCTGACTCCATTCATCAGTATTTGGACACTCGGACGCTATTTGAACTTCTTCAGAAGAGCCTCTGCACTTGTTTCCTCTTTGAGACTGTGACCGAACGCTTCTGTGTGTGAAACAAAAGCTTCTCTGCTTTCTTTTCTTTAAAGATGTATTATCCTGGCAATGGTGACAATGGTGTGCATTCCAAGTCTTATCAATATTAAAGATGTGATCAGATGTAATCAGTGTGTGAACCAATAAAAATGACAACGCAGAGAGCTGTGGATCTGTGTGTGTGTGTGTGTGTGTGTGTGCGCGCGCGTGGACCAGAGGTCAGAGGTCAACCTGAGGCAGCAGAAACAGCTCGGGGATCAATCGATCAAACACAGACGAGAACAGTGAAATAGATTCACACAAGAAGTAAACTCCTGATGTACTTGTACTCGTATTTTTTTATTTTATACCCCGTAATACTTAGTTAATACTCCACATCTCAGCACTGGTGGAGGAAGTTTTCAGTTTGTATATTTGCATAAACATGATCAAAGTACCAAATGTAAAAGTACTCACTAATGCAGAATGAGCCACTTCAGAACGATGTCTGTCAGATTACATCATTATTTATTCATTAATGTATCAGAACTCAGTTTCTTCTTCTTTTTATTTGTCTTCTTGTTCTTCTCTTTTGTCTTCTCCTCCTTCTCCTCCCCCTCCTTCTTCTTCTTCTTCGTCTTCTTCTCCTCCTCCTCCTCCTCCTCCTTCTTCTTCTCTTCCATTAATCGTCTCTCGACCCCTCAGATTTATCTGGTGACCCTTTAAAGGGTCCCTCCCCCTATGTTGGGCACCACTGGACTAAACTATCTGACTGTATAAAGTACTTTAAAGTAGCATGCTGCTGTAACATTAATGCTTCAGTGTTAATAATGTTGCATAGAACCAGATATCTATACTGCAGAACGAGTACTTTTACTTACTTAAGACTTCAGTACATTTAGCTCAAAGTACTTTTGTCCTTTTACTGAAGTAAAACTTGAATCACTGAGAGTTGTTTGGTGTATTTTGTGAGTACAGGAAGTTCATTCAGGTGCTCTTTAGATAATCAGTGACTCGGGACAAAGGTTGATGTTTATTGCTCTGTTTGAATGAACCAGAACATATAAGTGTACCTGATGTAAAAGTACAACAGGTAACACATCGTGTTCTACCTCAACGGAGTCCAGGAGATCAGACAGATTTAATTTGAATATTAAAATATAGGAATATTTAATATAATAATTTACTGTTTTAATCAGGCTAGTAATTTATCTTACTTCCCTCCTTTTTGGTTTTTTATTTTTGTTTGTTTTGTAAAACAATTTTTATCTCAATATTGTGTATGTTTTTATTATTATTATTGAATTAAATATATTTGATAAATACTAAACCATGTTTAATCTTGATATACAATATACATACAACTAAGGGTATTACACCTTATATTTTAATACACTTTATGTTGCCAATCAACAAATGTTAATGTGTCATAATCCATCAATTCATTGTTTATATACTTCTTAGAAAGTTAAAATACATTTTAAAAATATTTTACTATAAAATAAAGTGCTATTTTTTGTACGTTATGTCTTTTAATAAACAGTTTCACTCATTTCTTTTCCTTCTTTTTTTTCTGATGCAACCGCACTGGTTTTCTGCTGACGTCGCCGGCCGGCGTGACGTAGATCAGCACCAGAGTGATTAGACAGTGCCCGAGCTCGCGACTCACCTTTTCGGTCCCACACGCGGCGCCCTGCTCGCGCTCACGAGACAGGAGAAGAGTGTTGCTCGTTTACTACACCGGGAGGCTGCGGATTAAAAAGCCACGCGAGCGGCAGCAGAGAAAGGTAACGAACGAACTCGTAGAAAAAGTAAACGTTAAGATAAAGTTTGAGTGTGGACACGAGTATTGATGTTACGTTAACGGACCGAGTCTCGTGTGGGAGTCCTGCGCGTGACTACAACAGTTTGAAAGCGCTCGAGCGCGGAGCGGTGTGTGTGTGTGTGTGTGTGAGTGAGAGAGAGAGAGAGAGAGTGAACGTAACATTACTACTGTGTGGGGACATACTGCTGTCAGAGGGGCACAGGGTTCACACAGAAAAAGAATGGTTCTTAAAGAACCAGTCAAGAACCATCACCCACTAAAGAACCATTTCATCTATTGGATGGTTCTACATGTTTGTCATATAGTTATTTGAGATATTAAAGGGTTCATTTATCAACTGACCTACAACTGAGATAAAGTTCCAGCACTGAGTTTCATTGTCATCAATAAAAAGATAAAGACGGTGATATTCCTTCATTACAGTAAACACTAGTTTATTTAGGCACCAGTTCTGCTGCCCCAAAAATGCTCACTAGAACACCTAATGTGGATGAATTCACCACTAAAAATAGTCCATAAAAAAGGTTGGCTGAATTGTTGTAAA